TATTTCAGAACCCCCTTCCCCTTCCCCATTTCTGAAGAATGGTCTAGACCCGAAACATCAGCTTTCCTGCTCCTCTGATGCTGCTTGGCCTGCTCTGTTCATCCAGCTCTACAACTGGATAGGCTGTAACATCTTTCACTGGAGCATAATAGGTTTAGAGACGACCTTATAGAAGTTTATAAAATAATGAGGGGTTAAAGGTAGGGTCAGTGGTAGTTGTTTTTACTCTAGGGTGGAGGATTTGAAGACTGAGAGGCACATTTTTAAGGTAAGAGGAGAGAGATTTAAAAAAGACATGAAGGGCAAATTCTTTTACACAGAGGGTGGTTCATGTGTGGAATGAACTTCCTGAGGAAGTGGTAAATATGAGTACAATTACAACTTTTAAAAGAGATTTGAATAAATACATGAATAGGAAAGTTTTGGAGGTATATGGGCCAGGCACAGGCAGATGGGACTAGTTCAGTTTGGGATTAGGTTCACCATGGACTGGTTGGACTGAAGGGTCTGTTTCTGTGCTGTATGACTCTGACTCAATGTGATATGAATGGCCTATTATCAAGGGCAAACCATCCAAGCTCACATCTCTTGTAGGTATCTGTGATAGGCAAATTAACTCTCTCAATTTTCTTCCTCTTCAAGGCAGCCTACGATAAAATCAGAAAAGCGAAAAAGCAGGCAGCGGAGAGGAACCAAAAACTCGACAGCAAGAGAAAGAAAGTAAAGCTTGGTATGTGAAATGGTAAAAAGCAATGCAAGTACATTGAAGTGGCAGATGAAGCACCGGGGTTTGAACTATTACAGCATTGGATAGTCCAGGATGTGCTGTCTTTCGCCTGAATAACATCTGTGTAGCATCAAAGCGCTTGTGAAGAGACTCTCTAAACAGATTTAAAGCTGGCTTGAAGTTTTTCTTTGGTTGACCTTGGAGCCCTTGACAGAGCAGAGCAGAAGGGACATACCTTTATGTTATCAGTCTAAGTGCTACCCATTTCTGAAATTAGATGCATAAAGTGGGCAAGGGTTCCCTTGAAACTCATAATGATGTACCTCACAATCACAATTGCAACCAATCAACACTTTCAAAAAGAATGGTCCTTGTTGTATGATCAATGAATAGATGGTAATTGCACTAAAGTTTGAAATACGTTGTAGTAGCAGGGAAAAAAAAAGTCAAAGAATATGTTGCTTCCATCAGAGCATCAAAACTCATAATATATTCTCAGGATAATTTTCAGTCCTCTTGCCCTTTTCCCTATAGTCTATAGTGAATGTACTGTGCCACCTGTAATGGCCTTCCTTCATTGTCTGTCTGGTTGAAAGATGTTGATTGATGTGAGCTGGAATTTGTGTTGTTTCCCCTATTTTTCATTCTCCAATCAAGGATTGTTTTTTTGAATTGAGGGTCATTGCCTTTACAGAGATTTAAAGGGTTTTACTTCAACAGCAGCTGAAAAGTTTGTTTTCCTCGTTGCAGACCATAAACCGCGGGAGAAATTTCAGGCAGCCACTCATGTTCCATTAACCCCATTGTGAATGACTTTTGTAACCATCAACAAAATACTATTGAGTGACAATTTAAGATGAGGGGACACATATCAGCTGCCCAAGGTCTGATTATTATTGTGGGACAATCATAAAACATGTTGAAGCTAAACTGATCCTTGACCTGTACTGATACGATCTGGATTTGGTTCGTCAATTCATTCACATGTTGATTTTGAATTTCAGCTGTATTAAGTGTTGCCAGACTCCTCCACACAAATTAAATGGTTAATCATTTGGCACCCCTCTTTGTACTTTCTTTCTGTGTGGCAAACCATTTCACTGACTGACTGCCACTTGTAGCTTCCTGATGCCAGGGCTAACACACTATATTTGAATTTGAAACAGACAAAAAACTCATGAAAGTTTCCTCTGAGTGTTACTAGTAAGAATTCAGTCTGAAATACTTTTGGATTCAGTGTATCAGCTAAAAGCCTCTGCTCATTCAATTTTGGAAGCAATCTTGTTCAAAGGTCACAGGACTCATGGACCATATTTGCACCATGGAGGCAGTAGGCTTGAGTGGGAATATGCCCAAATCGGCCGATCCAGCTCCATGGAATTGAACATGCACACTTTTTTCACTCTATCAAGTTGGGCCGTCTGCCTCTGGAGAAAATTTGGAGGTGACCGTACCTTGGTGAATGCCTCAAACTCCTCCATGTCACCTTATGTACCATGCCACCTTCATGCCATCCAATGCAGCTGTGCCACCTCCAGAGATACTCACACGGTTTCGACCAGGACAGACGTCTGGAACCACATGGAAATAAAAAAAGAATGCTGGCAACATTTTTAAATATCTCTGTAATCGACCTTACTCCGTGAAAATCAACACGTGGTGCAGAGGTAGAAAATGGTATTGAAAGAGAAGCTTCTCTAAGGTTGGGTAAAGCATTACCCATTATTTAGTTGTGCCCACTTGACCATGTTTAATGCTAACAATAAGCAGTGTCAATGAATATGTTCCTTTATATGGAACAAACATATTTTACCTCCAGAACTACAAAGCATCAACTGAAATCTGTAAAACAGTTTGAAACTCAGCATGCGGAACATGCAAAAGTTTCCCACTTATTGGTATTGATAGGCTATTATGTCTGAACTTAATTACAGGTAAAACTGTTGTTCAATTTTAGACTTGGAGGCTCGTGAAAGAGAAGCCCAGCTCAATGAAGAAGAGGAAATTAAGATTGCAAAGAATTTAGATGAAGTGGTAAGTGCAAGATCAGTTCAGAGCTCTGTAAGATATTAAATTCAGGTGAATTAACATTCTGCCAAAGGTCAAGTTCACACAGAAAAGTAACCATTTTATTGAGGTACTTAAATGCTGCCATCCAGTGAAATCATATGACAGTATAAGCACAGCAGATCCATGACAAAAAGCAGATAACATTTGGTTCACTGATGCTAATTCCTCATTTAACATCTTTTAAGCAGGATGTTGCCGGGTATGGAAGGTTTAAGTTATAAAGAAAGGCTTAGATAGGCTGGGACTTCTTTCACTGAAGTGTAGCAGGTTGAGAGGCAACCTTATAAAAGTTTATAAAATAATGAGGGGTATAGATGAAGTTAATGGTAGTTGTCTTTTCCCTAGGATGTGTGATTTCAAGACTAGGGGGCACATTTTTAAGGTGAGAGGAGAGAGATTTTAAAAAAAGGACATGAGGGGAAAATGCTATACACAGAGGGTGGTTTGCATGTGGAATGAACTTCCTGAGGAAGTGGTGGATGTGGGTACAATTACAACATCTAAAAGATATTTGGATAAGTACATGAATAGGAAAAGCTTGGAGGGATATGGGCGAGGAGCAGGCAGGTGGGGCTAGTTTAGTTTGGGATTACTTTCAGCATGGACTGATTGGACTGAAGGGTCTGTTTCTCTGCTGTATAACTCTGCGACTCTATGTAAATATTAAAAGAGTAGTCACAAGGAAAGGTTTGTCCTATTAAAGATCAAAAGCAAAATGTCCAAAATAAACATCATGTTGGACAGCAAGCATGGGAAAGCTCCTAAATGTGTGCTTAGCATCTGGTGGCCCAGAGAAGAGAATGCTACCGATATCATATTAAAGGAATGGGATTTAAAACAGATGATGAGATGCATTAGCAGTGCTGAAAATAGTAAAATCATTTGGTCAGGACAGGATCCATTGTACTTTGGGGAAATTGTGGGTGCAAATTGTGAGCCTCAAAATCACCTTAGTGCCAGAATACTAGGATTACAGATGTTACACCCATGTCCAAGAAAAGTGGAGCGTGCTATATCCGGCAACTACAGGTCAAATGTTGCTGGTGACGGTAAAGTTAATTGCTAGTTGGAAATTTATAGTCTTGTAAATGAAAGCCAACAAGGGATTTATGAAACTAAATTATTTTTGACTAATTTGATTGAGTGCTTGGATGAAATAACAGTAAATATTGATGATGGTAGTCTGGTTGAGGTGAGTAGATGTTCAAAAGGTATTCAAAGACATACTACGTAACAGACTTGTTGGGTAAATTGAAACCCCATGGGATGAACTGGTCATTGCCTGGATGGACATTTGAAATAATCAATTATGGTAAAACTACTAGAAATGATTATATAGATTAAATATTTTGTCAAAAGTAAAATTACTTCACACTAAACAGTGCAAGTAGAACAAGGGGACATCAAGTCAGCCAAAGACAAATATAAGGCTGGGATCCGATACCTCCCATTCACATAAAATGATCAATACGTGGAATAGACTCCCAGAAATAGACATAAAAATCTTTGGAATCAGTCATGAAAATGATACATACTACCCTGGAGGACGGAGAACAATAGGTTCTCTGAATGGATGAACTAATACTCATACTATCTTGTAAAGAGTTTGTCTGAAATGGCTATGATTTTTACCAGTCAATAAATTACATTGTCGAACCCTCATCCTGCCCAGTTTTCTTCCAATGTGGGGTTTTATGTGCTACACAGGCCATCTCTATGGAACCATGAGCAAAACATCTGAGTTAGCAGACAAGCCGGAACTGGCTAAACAAGACTATTCCTTCTCATTTCCAGTCCATCCTAGATTGAAAAGCAGCCTTTTTCCTTCTGATGGACAGTTTAACATGTAGGGCATGCTGAAGTTCCAGACAACAAGGTCTACATTGTACAAGTCAATACATTGCCTTACATATGTTGCTAATACAAAGTGTTACTATGCTTACACAAAGTAGGTAACTAAGTGTGTATCGCACACCGTATGGTCTGGATGTCCCCAAGCACATTGCAATCAATAATGCGGTTTTAAAGTGTTTTTCTGTGGACTACCAGTTGCGGCCAATTTAAATACAGTGAAATGTCCATAAAACAAAGGTGAAGTGGTACATTTGAGGCTGCTGGTGGGGGCTGTTCTTCTTTAAATGGTGCCCGGTGATCTTTTCCACTTACCTGAATACAGTTTCAGTTCAATAGCCAATCCAAGAAGTAACATCTTGAACACTGCTGAATTGCCTTTGTAGACTGTGTATCACATCAGTTTTGAAACTACAGCCTTCTGACTTGGAGACAGCAAGTAATGGCTGAGATTTGGCTTGGGTTCCCCATGATTGGATGCCGAAAACAAACTAGAGAAGAATCAGGAACTGACATTTTAAAAAATCAAACGTTGTGGAAGGACTATTTGATGGTCAAAAATCAATGGTCAATTTGTACCAAAGGCTGTTTATTTTTCTTTTAATGAAGGTAGGTGGTGTGCAGTGAGGATGTTATGTTGAGTTATTAACAGTAGGAATGTGGAGATGAGATGGTAGGAGATAGAGTCATTAGTTCAGCCTCCCAGAAAGCATCCAACTGGATCCAGTGAACCTAGTGCTGCCATCAAGTCAAATTGGAGCCTTTCATAAATGCAAACGTATTACGCAGTGTAAACTCTAATTACAGGTCAGGCAATGCATGTAACATATATAGGAAGGTTGTAACGAGTAAAATATGTTGCTGGAACACTATGTCAAATGTTCATTTTTGTTTAAAATAATAACTAACTTCAGGCTGTTCTCCCATTGTGTAACCCCAAATTGGATGTGTTGATGCCAAAAAGTAAATTAGCAGATGCTAGTGAGTTGGATTTGAAGCGCAATGGGGAGAAATGATGATGTGCTTGTGCAAAAATTAGTAAATGACTTTCATTCTTGAGTAAATTTGGTTCTGGGGGATAAAAAATATTGCAAGTTCTCTCAATTAATCTTGGGTGCTGCAGGGTATGCTTGAGTCCAAGTGTACACAGCCAAGGTATCTCTTTCTGGAGATACAAAGCAGATTTGGTGCTCATGACACGGCTATGAAACCTGATAGACCTGCATTTAGTCATGGTAATCAGGAATAACCCGTATCCATGGAATTTTCTGTATTAGTGCTATTGCAGCTCGTCTTTCACCTCTTTATAGCTGTCAACATGTTCAATCCAATCATCCTGTCCAATCAATACACTCCATTTTATTTTTATTTCTGTGGGGCAGTTTTTGCTTAGTTCCACACTTAATAAAAATGACAATTTAGAAACAGGCCATTGAGCCTGACCAGGCCATGTTGGTACTTGTACTCCATAAGGATAGTTATTCTGATCCTATGTACCTGCTTTGTTTCTGTTAATCTATATTCTCCTCTCTTTAAATTATCAAATTCGGCTATTCTTAAATGTCTCACCTATTTAGTTGTTCTGTCACTTCACAAGTCTCCCAGGAAACAGTCTTTAGCTTCTTTTTTACCTTGTGTACACACTGTTCTTTAACAATACCATTTGAACTCACATATATGTTGGTTACTTGCACTTCCACCACTGCATCACTCTTGTAACCCACTCACTCTCTCTGCATTATCGGGTTGTATCCAGTTTTACATGCTAGTCACTATGAAGATTACATCTGTTGTCTTAATACCCAATTTACAAACACTGCTTGGTCACTATTGACTCAACCCCTCCGTAGTCACGATCTCTGGCTGTGCCTAACAATACCCAAGCTGAGCTTCTGACCTCCTCATCTCTCAATTACAAAAAATTGCTCGTCTCTATCTCCTCAATTCCATGCAGTACAGACCATGTACTATTGAATACCTGATTTATGCCTTTGTCACCTCAAGGCTCAATTACTCCAAAGCAATCCATTCACATTTTTCACATTTCCCATCAGATGCAATGGATTAAACAAACCCTATCCAGCACAATGTCTTCCTGCTCATCACACCGACATTAGTTCTCTTCCAGTCTATACATTATAGATTTTAATTTCTCACCCATTTGTTCTTTTCAGATCCCTTCACAGACTCGCTCATCACTTTATAATGGCTTCTAGCTCTACAACTCCCACTGCATCAAACTGTTTCTCTGCCTTCAAACATTTACACTGCTATTATTAGCTGTGCCTTCAGCCACCTAAATTACAATCTGTGAATTTCTTCTTAAATCTCTCTGCCTCTTTCTCCTGATTTCCCTTGTTTGCTTCAAGTGCCTTGTTTCTCCTCATGTCTCTGTGAAACACCTTAATGGTGCTTTTTGAGGGCAAGTTGTTGCAAAATATCTCTGACACATCAACTTCCAGAATTGCTGTCTGATAAAATAATAATTTTGTATCTTGGATTTATTTTTAGTTATTCAGGATTTAAGCTACTATCTGCTGCTTCACTAAGTTACAAGTTGGAAGATCGCCATTTCGACTATAGGAAACAAAATAGTATAATTCTCTTGGCTAAGTGAACAGGACATGTAGGATAAAAGATAAAAGTGTTGATGCAAACATATTGAAAGGTCGAAATGTAATCTCTGTTTGCTTTAATGGTTTTGAATTAATTGCTGGTGTTGATAGCTCTGTGATTGCTCAGCTGTTGGTGAACTGTGATTTTTTTTTTTTAGTATTGGTTTCACTGCCAGTAACAGCATTTTTGCTTTAACTAGCTCTTTGAGTTGACTGGCAGCTTGAGACTGATCATTAATCACGTGAGGAAAAGTCCAGTCGACATTCCAAGAGCACACTTGTAGTCTTCAGTCTGGTACTCAGATAGCCTCTGTGTATAGCCGTGGCTTAAGTACATTTTGCAGATATTTTAGCTCATAGGGGATTAAGTTTGCTTCTGAGCTGTAATGAACTCATGAAGGCAAGCAGGATTGGGAAAAAGCACAGATTTTAACAACTTAAATCTGCTCAATTATTGAATGTCCTGTTCTTTTTCAGAATATGGCTATATTTTAATGTTTATAAATTGTAGCCAAGCTGTGAATGCAAGAAAACACAAATTGTAAAAAGTGGAGAAAAAAGTGCAACATCAGTTTATCAAGGAAGAGAATTGGAAAACTGAGAAGTTATGTTAAACTGCTACAGAACCTTGCTTAAAGCACAGATAGAATGAAGTGGACAGTTCAGTTCTCCATATTTTAAAGAGAGTATAGTCACTGTATATTGTGCAAAAATATTTCCAGAGAATAATAATATCTGGAAAGGATGAGCAGTCTATGGCTGAATTCTCCAAAAAAGAGAAAACTCGGGTGACAATCTTACAGAGGTCTTATAATGTGCCCATATAATCTGCTACCTTTGTCATTCTGGCTGGTAGTGGTTGTGGTGTCTAAGGAGCCTTGATTAATTTTTACTGTGCATCTTGTGGGTGGTACACACTGCTGCTACTGAGCATCAGTGGCAGAAGGCGTGAATGTTTGTGGATGTGATGCTGAGAAAATGTTTCCAGTTGTGAAGGAGTTCAATCAAAGAGAGTCAATAAGGAATTCAGAAGATAGTTATTCATTCAGAAAGAGCTTAGAATGTGGAGTCTGCTTCTACAATGAATAGATAGGTGAGCTGATTTAACTGGATATGTTTAATGGGAAGCTGGATAAAATGTTAGGGAAGAAAGGAATAGCAGCCTTTCCTGAAGGAGTGTAATGAAGTAGCTGGGAGGAAGCCTCATGTACAGCTGGCCCTTAAATTCAATGAAGCATTGTATACGGTCTCTAAAATGTGGTATCAGGGAGTGCTACGCTGTCAAGAGATACAACTCTTCAGGTGATCTGTTGGACCAACCTGTTCAGTTCAGAATTCAATATTCCTTTTGCATTGTTTAAAGAAGGGTAGTGAATGTTCCCTTTGTGCTAACCAATATTCTGTTTTTACCCAGGCATTTTGCTTTTTTTGGTGTTATAAGTTATTTCCTAATTGCAATTTGAGAAGGAAAGAAAATGAAGTAGGTCAGGGGACCCAGTCTCAAACTTTGCAATTGTCCCACAGGATTTTTTTCAGCTTGTTTGGATGAGAGTGAGGGTTGTAGGCTGGATGAGGTAACTGGCCCTTTTTACTGTAGAAAAGAAGTAGTGTACTACTTAAATGGAGAATCACTGCAGAATTCTGAGTTGCAGACGAATCAAGATGTTCCAGAAAACGAAGTTAATCCCCAGGTAGAAATCCTAACTAAGAAGGCCAATGGAATGCTATCCTTTATTATGAGAGGAATTTAACATAAAAGTAAGGAATTATGCTTCAGTTACACAGGGCATTGATGAGACTGCATCTTGGATACTGTGTGCAGTTTTGGTCTCCTTATTTAAGGAAGAATGTGAATATATTAGGGGCAGTTCTGAGGAGGATCATGAGATTGATACTTGGATTGAGTGTTTTGCCTAGGTTGTTCAGGATGGTCTTGTTTTTACTAGCGTGTCATTGAGTAAGGGCTGACATTTATGAGATCCTTAACCGTCTTGATGAGTTGGACGTGGAAATGACGTTTGCTCCTTTAGGTGAGGCAGAACCACTGGACAGTGATTTAAAATTAGGAGTCAGCCTTTTAGGACAGAGATGAGGGATTTTTTTTTTCTCTTGAAGAATTGTGACTTTGGAATCCTCTGCTTCAGAAGGCATTGGATTAAGGGTCTTTGAATACTTTTAAGGCAGAGTAGATGACTTCTTGTGGTGCAAGTGAATTGAAGGTTGTCCAAGTTGGATGGGAACATGGAATTCGGAGCACAAACAGATCAGCAATGATTGTATTGAATGGTTGAGGAGACTGAAGGGCTGAAAGTTCGTACATCTCCTAATTCATGTGTTCATAAATGACTTTCGCTATGATGTCTATTCATTGCTGATGTATAACCTTAAATAAAAGAACATTGTGTATTGGTGTATATGTAGTTTGGTCCTTTTGTTTTATTTCCTCAATAAAGTGATCAGAAGTTGATCTCAAGGCTTTGATTCCTCAAACTTTGATGTCTGAAGTCTGTTTTGAACGAAGCTACTTGTTAATGGATTAGCTTGACAATAATACTACTGAGACAATAAATCAAAGAGCTTTGCTCATTGCTTTTACACAGTGTAGCAGTTACTCAGAAATGCTTGGAACTGAGAATGCACTTGTATTTGTAAGGTGCAGGTAATTCTCATGTCCTTGAGAAAAGAGGGAGGTGAAATTGTCCTCTAGACTGATATGTTACTTATAGGTTACTCTGTCCCTTTGTTCTATTACATACCTTTCTCAGCATCTGGGTTTGATTTGCATGTTATAATTTAAACACTGATAAAAGTCATATCTCCTTCAAGAGTAGAGGCATGTAAGGGCTGCATATGTTTTTATTTGAAAACTGGAAATTAGGTGCTGCTGTGTTTTTATAGAATCAACCAGTTGTTTTCTTTATTGTTTATTACTTGTTGATGAAAGCTGGTGAGACTATTTTTCCCCATTCTATATAATGGCCAAATCAGGCAAATTGGTGATCTTAGTGATTAAATTCATCATTTATACATTTGTGATGATTCATGGAATTGAGGGTTTAATTTTTAGAGTACCATTCCAATCAAGGTTGTGATATGCCCTAGTCTTGAAACAAACCAAAAAGCTTTGATTTGGTGTCTCCTTTAGCAGTGTTTATTACGGAGATGTGAGCTGTCTAATTTCTGTTATCCCTCATTAAAGCGCTTTTTGTCACAGTGCCGAGACACTCTTAGAAGTGCTCCAATACTGTACATTCAACTGTTATTGAACCCAATTTTGGCTGAGGATTCGATATTGCAAAGTTAAGGTTAAACTGCTGGGGCATGTCAAATGACCAAAGCATCTTAGGAAGCACTTCAAATGGGGTGTGACAAGGTTTCACTGTGTTCCATGGAGAGAGCGGTGGGGAGTTTAAAGTCCCTCTTCCTTTCTGCAGCTTAGTCACAACTTTTGTAATTGGCCTCAGCATCTATTAGCTAAGAACTGAAAGCAGCCAGCATTGCTGTTCCTGTTTGTTCCCTCTGCTGGGATAACAGAAGATGTAGCTGCTGAGTGAAGACAGAATCAGTATCATTTGTGATGCCCCTATGGATGAAATGCTTACTGACATTCATATACAAAGACTTACATTTTGTTTTCCAGCAGTTGGCTTCTATAGAACTATCTGTTAGAAAATTAGAGTTTTCTTCTAAGGAAGAGAAGAAGAAATTTAAAAGTGCCAGAAGCAATTTAATATAGTTTTATATGAAAATGGAACAGCAGTCTTACATTTGCTTTAATTTACTTCTTTTGCCAGGCATGAACTTTGTCTCAATCTTTTGTTTTTCATAGAATCATAGAATCCCTGCAGTCTGGAATCAGGCCATTTGGTCTGTCGTGTTTACTCCAACCCTCTGAACAGCATCCCACCCACACCCACTCCTCTACCCTATCCTTGTAACACTGCATTTCCCATGGCTAACTGACCTAGTCTGCATATCCGTGAACACTATGGGCAATTTAGCAAGGCCAATCTACCTAACCTGCACATCTTTGCACTGTGGGAGGAAATCTGAGCACCTGAGGAAACCTATGCAGACGCTGGGTGAATGTGCAAACTCCACACAGACAGTCACTTGAGGATAAAATTGAACCCAGGTCCCTGCTGCTATGAGGTAGCAGTGCTAACCACTGAGCCACCATGCTGCCTTGACTGTGTCTATTGCTTCTTCATTAATTTTATTGAATAATTCCTGAACAGCGATTCTCCATGTATTTGTTCACCAACCAACAGAAGACCCTTTTGTCCTCTTGCAGATTGCCAGGCTAAGGGAAGAAGGCTCCAGACATTTAGAGGAACAGCAGAGGCTCGTCAGAGAACAAATATTGCTGGAGAGAGAGCAGAGACTGCGAGGTAAAATTGTGTTTGTTTATCAGTATTGTTATCTCGTTTCTTCTTTTTTTCAGTCACCCTCCCATATTCTTTGCCTATGTGGATCATGATCTCATGGGTGAGGCTGATCCTTTGCTAAATTTTGAATCTTATGGTTTAGTCTGCAGACTAGCTATCCTGTTAATTGTAGAGTCATATAGCACAGAGACAGACCCTTCGGTCCAACCTGTCCATGCTGACCGTAATCCCAAACTAAACTAGTCCAGCCTGCCTGCACTTGGCCCATATCCCTCCAAACAGTTCTTATTCATGTACTTACCAAAATGTCTTTTAAACAGTTGTAACTGCACCCGCATCCGCCACTTCCTCTGAAAGTTCATTCCAAGTACCACTCTGTGTAAAAAAAAGTTGCCCGTCATGTCCTTTTTAAATCTTTCTTCTCTTACTTTAAAAACATGCCCCCTAGACTTGAAGATACTAGTCTCTCCTTTGTCCCGAGTCCCTGCATTTACTCGTCTGTTGCTCCGGTTCCCAACCCCCTGCCAGACTTTGTCCTGATGAAGAATTGGTCACTTATTTGGATTAAGCTGTCACTGTGCAGTGAAAGATCGGGTAATGTTAGCATGGCGTCTGCTTATGTACTTGTTATTTTTGAGTGGATCTCATTATTTTCATTTTGATGTCCCCTAGGATCTGATGTCCGAACAGATTCTGTAAACAGCTCAACCCCTAAACTGAAAGTAAGTATTTCTAATAGCTAGCTGTCACCATGATTTGTGTTAATGTCTGCAGAATGCAACTTGTATTGTGGGCCTTGCTTTTGGAATATATGGAGAATAGTGAATACAGGCAACTGGGAATGCAAACGGATGGCCTGAGAAGTGTCCTAATTTGCATATTTTAAGTCACAGTTGCTCTCCCTTTGTGCACTGGGTCTAAATTTATTTACAAGTTTTCCTGGTTTTCTTTTAATTTTGTGCTGTTTTAATTCTGCACCGTAGATACAGACACTTATTGAGACAAGATTCCAAGGAGATCAGCCTCCTGTACCTCAACAAGGCCTAATTCTTCTTGCATTGAGTGATGGTAGGCCGTCCCTCACTTACATCACAGCTAATCTTGGACCTGTCACTATCCTGGGTCTGGCTATCTGTGATGGATATGAAGATCCCTGGCTGATTTTTAGAAAATTTTCTCACTCATTGAGGCCAATAGTAATGTTTCAGTTTGTCCCTGGGACTGTTGACTTTTCACGCTATGGGACCAGCTTTGTTCATGGAGTAAATTTCAGTGACGGTGCAATTGAATGATTGCCCTTCTGGGGTCCTTGGTTCCTCACTACATATGAAAGAAGATATCTTGGAAATTGGCTAGATTGATGTACCACAGATGACATACCTGTCAGTTCCTTTTGAGTACAGTTTTGCATTGTAACTGTGAAGCATTGCTGATTTCAGCCAGGAGTAGTAGATGGAGTATTGAATGCAGGCAAGATGCTGCCTGTTCAAGTGTGGTGAAGATTTAGAGTCAGCCATTGTGTGTATGTACTGAAAGGATAGTAGGCTGGTGTGTAACATTAAAAAGTTACTATGTTGATCTGAGATAACACGGTGTAGAGCTGGATGAACACAGCAGGCCAAGCAGCATCAGAGGAGCAGGAAAGCTGACGTTTCGGGTCGAGACCCTTCTTCAGAAAT